TAGATGAAGAAACACAGGAACAGAGCTTCTAATTTAGTTACAGTTCATACCACCTCCCAAACCCTTAACATCACACCCACATGGGCACCTGGAGCCAGCCTTCAAATGTAAAGAAGGTGATTCCATTTTGCAACATGATCTATTCAATTATAGCTGAAGAGACCATCAAATAAACAGACTATTGGCAGCCAGAGGCCATACTTGTCACAGAGGTAAGTTGGGGGAGGGACTCTGTCGTGAAGATCAGAGTTCAGCTTCCTTGGTAGGAAGCTTTCTGAATAACTTGCACAAGTCACTAAAATATATACATAATGAGACACTAAAAAACGCAGTGCAAGTTTGATTCTAGGAGAACAACCATATTTCAACTCATAATTTTATCTGTCCTGTGGCTCTGCACACACTGTAACATGTATGCTCATGCATGTTGCAAATGGAACCACCATAACAAGATGAGGAATGACTTCCAAATCGAGTTATTTCAGGAGGTGATGAGTTTTTTGTTTCAGTTTTGGTGATGAGTTTTTCCTTCTTTTTTTTTTCCAAACCCACATCCAGCATACTGCTGAACTGATAACAACATACTACCTTAAGAACACCTCTGCTGTGGAAGGTTTACATGTAGATAAACTTAGATCCAGGTTGCAGATGTCAAATAAAGTGAGAATAAATGAATTGGAAGAGGTCTGAAAAACTGACATTCAGCAGCAGCCATTGCTATGGTTTGAGAGTACAAGAAACCACTCAGTAGTGTCATAAGGAAGAATTACACAGCACTGTTTTAGGCTCAGTGAAAACTGCTTTCCACTTCTTCTCAAACTTACACTTCATAATATGATCCTACAAAGAGGTAGGTAAAAAAAGACACTTTCATTTCATACAACCACTGATAAAATGTTTATGCAGGACAATATTTGTTTGAAATGCAAGCTTTTTGGGGCAATAACTAAATTTACTTTTGTTAAGAGTCTGAAAAATGGAAGCTGTGGTCCCATGTCCTACCAGCACTACTGTAATATGAATGTGTAATAAAATAATTGTCTCCTTTCTTCCTATGAGGTGCTACATCCATCAAATGCAGCTATATGGAAATGGGAGATACAACATCCTTTCATCCTCACCACCCTTTGTAGACATCCAGACTGCAATAAAAGACAGTTTATCATTTCACTTTTAGCAGTCACGGGGCAGTTAAGTTAAATGACCTGGGGAAAACAGGTCTTGAGGAAGTCTGTAAGCTACTGAGAAAATTAGCCTCTTTGACTTTGTCTCTACAGAGAAGATATCATGGACTTTAAGATAACAAATAAAGTTAAATACCACTTCCTGACTCTGGATCTTGTTCTTGGCACTACAAAAAGAATAATATCCACAGATCTTCACAACAATAAGGCTTCTTTATTGGTGGTGGTGTTCTTTTTAGAAGCTGTTTTTCCATGATACACACATTTCCCACAGCTCATACTGAGGTATCTGATCAGGTTTTAGACTCTTATCTTACAGTCCCTGTCTCTTGTTAGAGAGTTCATCTCTGGGAATAGTGCGACAAAAAGTGCTGAAAAGAGAAAGACATTGCAAAGGATCTTGTGTGAAAAGCTATTTTGATTTAAGTGTTTTAAATCTAAAAGGCTTTTCATTCTGATTCCCCAAAAAATCATTTTAGTTCATGTCTAATGGAAAAAAGTTGAAGGTAGATGATTATAGATTAATTGCTACTGCCAATCAATCATTTGAGCTCTCAATAGGAAAGCATAATGCCTGTCAAACAAATAAACATAATATTCAGAACACTCAAAGCATGCTATCAAATGGACAGATTGCAACACTGCATGTATCACCTAACCTAGCAGACACACACAGGAGTTATTCTGTTCTCAAGCTGCAATGTCATTTACCAAAATACTTTCTTTGTCTGAGCATCAAATATCTTATTTGTGAGGACTTTGGGCTAATTCAAGATCCCAACCAGCAAGCAACCTGATGCCTGATACACAGTGAACTGGACTAGTCACATCACAGCACAACCTTTTGTTCATACAAAACAGAAACCATCTTGAAGGACACATTCATCTGAGGGCTTAGGCATTAAAGATACACTTCCATATTTCTAATGGTTTGCTCTTCATCTACCTGTACTTGCATCAGATACTACACAACTTTAATTTCTGCTCATATTTATTTCTAAGCCTTTAATACTTGGTTCATCTCCTGCCTCCACATGACTCTAGGCAGTAATAAAAGCTGGAATCTATTGTAGCCCCTAAAAACACTGTCTTAAAGAATTAAAGCCTAGGAATCAGTCATCACAACCCTTTCCATTATATTTTTTTCTTCCCCATTTACCATGCTCAATCTACCACCACTTTGCCTTATAACAGTCACAATAAAAACCCAGCAAACATGCAGCTTCCATATCTAACCATTTCAAGGGTTACTTAAACTACAATAAATGTAAAATTTCCAGAAGCAGGCTTACAATAAATATTCAGACTTCCATTTTTAGCGTGAGAATGGGTCTGAAACTTTTCTTGTACAATATATTTTCCTACATTACAAGAGTCTCTGCATAAACGGAAATGAAATATTCATTAACTAACTGTACTTGGTTTGTAAGTGAGCAGAAAACAAAACTGCCTATTGTAGAAAAAAGGAGACATATCCAAGAACCTGGAATGAAAAACTTTAAAGGGGATATTAATGGGCTTACATTTAATGGCTTACTACAGAGCTTCAGCATTTTCAAGTGATAGCAGCATGCTATTACAACTATGAATGTAGTAATATTTTCCCAGCTGTATTTACCACCTTTGCTAACCACTGCTCAAAAACAGGTGCTTTGTTCTCTCCATGTGGTACATTCTCAGAAGAGTGTTATTGACTTTTTTTACTCAGGATATTCAGAGAGGTCCAAGGTATTTGGGAACCCAACTGTTATTAAGAATCTCATGCCTTTCAGCACCTGTGAAATTCCCAGTAAAATAAACAAGGGAATTTGTCTTGACATTTCAATCTTAGCTTTTGATACAAAACAGCTCTTTGAAATTTGGGGCTTAAATTTTATGACGTGTGCTTCTCTCAACACCAATGTCCCTAACCAATTCCACTTTGTTGTGTTTTGCTACTGATTATCCCCCTTTGTCCTAAGAAAAGAATATGCTAGGAATATCATTCCCAGACAAAACACTAAGTTAGAAATACGAACCTCTGCTGCTTCAGATTAAAAGACTGTCCATCAGCTCTAAGAACACAACAAACACAAAAAGCTCTACCAGGTGGTCCAGCCCTGGGGTATATAGAACCACACTTTATTACTGAGAGCTACTCTACCATGGCATTGCTGCATGTTAGTAAAGGTTTCTCTGACTTATCTTCCTTTACCACTTTTAATAATAAGTGTTCTTCAGCATCCAGTAAATTCCAGGTGTATTTGACAATGTAATAATTTCCAAGGATTACAGAGAAAACCAAATATTTGATATTTAGAAGTAAATAAAGAAAAACTCCTCTCAACATGGTTTCTGATAAATTGTTTTGCATTAATCCTCAAAGAAGTCTTAAGAGAGAATGAAAAAATGACCAATGTGTGATGCTAGAAGATGTAAGATCCAGACAGACCACCCAAAACATTCCTCTTGGAATTCACTGCTCACTTTAAATAACCTTGCTGAATGGTAAACACGTGAATCAGAGATAGATCAATCTCTCTCCAACTTGTTCAGCAGCCTTGCTCAGACTGCCCTTTATTACGTGCCCAACTCTGGTGTTGTGACTATTGTGCATTTTAGTTCAAGACCACAATAAACATTTTAGTTTACCTAAAATTCAATAAAAGCCTGGCTCCGTACACCACCAATGGAGGAGAATAAACATAATGTCTGTATAGCATACCTGTCACTGCTATTTGAACAGAGCCCAAAGTGATATCCCAACAGGTCATAAGATTCTCAACCCACATAATCTGTACAAATTTTAATTCTGATATAAGTGGACATAACACCAAAGTCAGTGGACAGATGATGGACAGATGAATTTAAAAGTTAGCTGAATTTAGCCACATGCTTGAAAACAAACTTCTCCCTTGAGCAAGAACCTTCTCAATCGACTGTTGAGAAATTAGGGCAAATTCTCTGAAATACATAAAGTTGATAATCATCATATACCTAAATGTCTCCAAAGATCTAAGTATCAAAATGTCTAAAAATCACACTGCTGCACAGCTGAATTTTTGAAGACCTATTGAGGATTTACACGACCCAATTCTTCAGCTTCTGAAGTTTTTGCATGTTTTCTCATTTCTCTGCTAGGAGAAACATGAAGCTAAGTAGCAAGTTTAAAGAATAATTTTTAAAAATTTTCAAGAAACTTCATTGGAAACAAACAGGAGTCCCTAAAGGACTGTCTACTGAACTTGTGCCCAAAAAACAAACTTGCAAGAACTCCAAGCTGAACAAAAGTAGTCCAAGGAATGAGAGTGTTTTGAGGAGATACTAAGGTTCGAGCTGATGAGATCTCAACCATGGATTTCTCTGACAGTTGCTAAGTCTTTATTCATATCAATAGAAGAAGTGTGAAATAGTTCCAGACTAAGGCCAGCTGGTGCTGGAAGTGGCACAGGCTACATTAGTATCCTATCAGCCTCACATCCACTCCAGCCCAGCATTGAAACACAGCTCACAAACTGGTGACTCACAGCACGTTGAAAAACAAACATCAATAACAAATTCAAAGCCTTTCACCTCTTCTTCAGTAAACTGAATTGAATTACTAATTTCAAAAGTCGGGCAAGAATTGTTGTGCTTTTGCTATTGTTTTGCCAAGGCCTTGAGGGATGCTTCCAGGCTAGTTCCCAGTCTCCAACAGACAGCTATACAAAGGTGTTTAGGCACCTGGAGATACATGAAGTCTCCTAACAAGATCTACAGTGTGAGTTAGGATTCTAATTTGCTTAGGCAATTCTGAAATCCCATTTAGAGTCTAATGGTTCTTAAGCAAATAAATACCTTGAAAATCTGACTCCAGGTCACTTAAAGTATAAAGATTATAACAATGGATGTCAGCAGTCAGTAAGTAGTCTCAACACAAAGGCTGCATGTGTTGCCAGAGGTGCAATTTGCCCTTTAATTCCAGAGACAAGTCCCCTAGAAGAAGAATAAAGGACTTTTTAGAATATATATGGAGGAGACTGGACAGCCTTACTAGTGTGTAACCATTTGCTACTTATAGATTCTGCACTTTCAAAGGATGGCATAAAAGACTACTCTTTCTAATTATATCTATTATTAAGATATACAAACACCACTTTTATAACATTTCCTCCAAGTTAATAAATCACATCATATCAATTATTACCAGGGAGGATTCTCTAAACAAATACCGAACAGTGCTTCACACAGAAAAAGACTGAAAATTATTTCTTAAGCATTGAACAGTGTCAAAATTTAGATAAAGTCAAACATTTATCAATGTTTGATTGATGCCTTACCACCCTTTGGGGATCCTTCCTTTTGGGAAGCTGTCCTGGGAGCAAATATCCAGCTTCTATTCCCAGAGTAGTACAGTTCTATCCTATATCCTTACATCAGATTTTTGCATATCTGCCACAATATAGTCCAAAAGATGAAAGCTTAAAGAAAGGTTTTTGATTCCACTGTAGAACCAGTGGATCTTCTTCACCCTCCTGTCACTGTGCTCTAACAACAGAAATTAATGCTTTTCTGAAGAGTGAGATGTGAAAGCTGGAATCAGTGCTTGCAATGGTTTAAAAACGGCTTGGTTCTGTTAAAGGCAACGTTGATTAACACCAATAGGGGATGTTATTTTTTTTAACAGAGTTTCTTCTTAGGCACAGAAGGTTTTCATTCTTCAGTAGCTAAACTTAAAATACAGTGATTTCAAGATGTGGTTTTTTAAAACTGTTTAAAAAAGCACATAATCCAGCCTGCAAACAAAAATTCCTGTTTTTTCCTTGAAATAATGCAGAGCAGAATTGCAGAACAGTGTAGCTCCCTCATTAAATTGGCCAATGCACGTAAACACAAATGAAATCATGCCTCACTAAAAAATATTTTCTAGCTACTCACTAAAATAGCTTTGAGAGACCAGGTCCATACATGGAATAAAATGGCTTTCTCTGCCTAGGAAAAGAAGTCCTATGCCAAACTCTCCTCTGGAATGACATTTTAACTATTATAAACAGTTTAATGGCAAATGTAGAGCAGAGCACTGCAGTTTTATACAATCACAGCAACAACACTGAGATTTGCTCTGTTCTGAATTCAGCTCTTTATATTGTTTCTACTTAAAAAGGAAAAGTATCAAATACAACAATTTCTACAAATTTATCTTTCACAACAAACATTTTCATATTCTATTTGCAATTTCACCACACAAAAGCAGGCTCAAGTCAAGTGGCAGAATTTTGGCTGTACTCATCTGAAAACACTATAAGCTTTGCCCTTCTACCACTCAGGCAACTTAAATGGGGACAGTCCTCCCACTATTTTTCCAATAAACTTTGCAGCAATAGCCACACAAAACTCTTAGAATACATGACTTAGATACAAAGAGATGCTTTTCAAAATATCTGTTTGAATTCTTCAACTTATATCAGAAATGCAGAATCTTTATGCAGAGACAAGCACTCTGTAATGTTCAGAGCATAGTGGGGTGAGTCATTAACCCTCACAACTTCCTAGTACACTGTGTACCACCATTCTCATTTTATCTGGGAACACAGGGGAGAAACAAGAGAAAAGGGCTCAGCAGCAGCACACAGCATTATGACAAATTGTAAATAAGACTTTCACCTTTTAGTTCCAGCTCCCAAGTGGTTCTGAATGTTTATGAATAAAGCTTAACACAGATTTACACAGAAACTGAAGGATAAAAATGATCAAGTAGAAAGTGTTGCAAAACCACCTGAAACACAGCCCTTGGCAGGGCCTGTTCCCTACACCTGACCCCCTTCCCAGGCCTCAGATCTCTCTCCTCATGGTGTCCTGGTGCAGAATCATCATAAACATTTATCAAAGCATGTTTCAATCCATGATACGTGTGTGGGGGTGGATTTGGAGTGACAACCACTCCTCCCCATTACACCTTCATTAATTCACGTATGAAAAGTGATGGGCAGACATCAACAGGAGCATGGGGTCAGCAAGGGGTGCCAGCCAGCCCAGGCAAGCTGGGGAGAAGCTACTCAATAACCTGAATCTCAGATGCATCAGAATAATTGCTAAGAGAATGAAAAGCCTGACTGAAAAAGAAATCAGAACAATAGTGACAAAAGAGAAAAATAAGCAGATGGCTATATGTTAAACTAGGATAGAAGTGTTTAGGCAAAAATGGAATGCCTAGGTTTAGCAAAACCAGCACGAAAGAGTTGCTAAGTATTACTTCAGATGAAATTTCAGAATAGCAGCACTGCCAACAAAGAATTACAGAAGCAGGGTATTTTGACTCTAAGCCCACGGATGAGGAAATTCAACTCTAATAGTTTAAAGGAGAAATTTCACACAGAACATTTGGATACAGAAATTGCAATCACAGGTCCTGACCAGCCTGGGTCTGACACATATTTTTATCATCATCACTGGACAACTTTAATGGATGATTTTTGTGCCTCGTAACAGTCACTCAGAGCACCACCTGCTTTTAGTACTTGCATTATAGCTCATTAGGGATACAAGAGCTGCAACAATAAGCTCTGAATTAAGGTTTTTGTAGCACAAGTAATTCTGGGCTTCAAACTGCAGAATTTGGCTACCTCAGGATATTTATGCAATTTATCTTTAGGCAATAAAAGCTGACTTTACACAATCACTTTGAAACCAGGGCTATGGCTAAACATTCACAAATCAGGGCAGCTGCCTTTCTCAACTCAAAAATTTTGTTTTAATCAATGTTTTGCTTTGTTTTTCAGATAACCTCATATATTAGACATTTTGAATCTTTATTATATTTCATTTTTTCTGGCTTGGTTCAGAACTTTTAGAAATCCCATTTTAATGCTTCCCTCTGAAAATTCCTTTTGTTGTTTTCCAGAGAGGCAATAATCCTGCAATAGGACATCTCGGTATTGTAATGAAAATAATTCTTCATTTTTCCTTTTCCAAATATGTTAAGAAGGAGGTTGGAAAGGAGAGAAGAGTTCATACTTCATCATCTGAAGTACTCCATAAATAATTTTAAGTGCCTGAAAAGCACCAATAACTAATTAATTAATTTAAATCTGAGCCTAAGCCATCCCATTTTTATCTCCATTTTAAAATACTAGATAAATATAATCTTAAAGGATGCTCAGATTCTGGGTTCAGACCTTACTCATGAGAGAATAGGAACACAAAAAAGAATTCTGAGAGCACTCACATTACTGAGACACTATTTTGAAAGAGAGGAGGGATCAGTTATAGAGATATCCACATCTGAAAGTTACCCAATTTTTGTAGCTACTTTTGCCTGTCATAAACAATCTCGTACCATCACTGACCTCTTTACTGGCTGCCAGCATGCTGCTCAGGAGAGGAAATAAAAAGAGCAGTGTCTAATGGTCCAGACAGAAACCATGACAATACATTAAAAAATGCTGAATTTAAATTCTAGTACAGACTGATTAGATTGAAAGACAAGTTAGAGTGAAATGGTGTCAGGTTCAGTGAACCAAGTGTAAAGGTCTTTATGACTACATTGGCATTTCTGCCTCAGTTGCAGGCATCAGTGACTATATTAGATTAGGTCACCTGAGAATTTAAATAAAATCACATATTTCTTATGAAAAAATGGCCCATGTAAGTAATATAGTTCCATCTCAACTCAATTGCATATTGCAATTAGAATTATAGCAGCACTGCTACTGGGATGTAATTAATTGCAACTGAGCTTCTCTATGCTTCATGCAGGCATTTTCATGGGAGCTTCATGCAGCATTACCTGAACTCGCATTAGAAAATCAGTGACAAGGACCAGAATTTGAGCTGTCCAGGCATAAGGATGGGGCTTTGGCTTCTCTGAATTGGCTCAGAAATAGAAAGAACAAAATTTAATTTCTATATAGAATGCTATGCAGGTTCCTTGAAGCAGGAGCTAAAAGCGAGTGAAGGCATTTTCCCTCAAAGAAAATGGACAGTCACTGTATTCTATGGAAAATGTACTTCAGTGATCATTCCAAATTCATCATGATGATGGCCCTTAAGGCCAAAAACAATCAACTGAACTAAACTCACAGAATTCTTTGTTCCTGTGCTTCTTAAAAATAGGGATCTGAAATTCTGGGCTATCTTGAAGTACCTAGAGAGAGTTTTCTAGTCGATTACCAGCCTTAACAGCACCCAAAAACATAATACCCCACCATAGGGGTTTTTTCAGGGCATGCTGGTATGATGAATTTCACACAGAGAAGACACTACAGTCCTTTTACATTAACTTTGCAAGGCTGTTTTCCTCAATTTAGTGTCAGTGTTCACTAGAACCACACATCTGAAAGGTTGCACTGGAGTATTTATATACAGCCTAGTGATGGCAATTTGCTGAAATCCAGATCAAACTTCTACTTCTAATCTTGCCTGAACTTAGGCCCAAATAACATAAACCAGTACAGGAAGAAAGTGCCACCTCCTCATCCATTTCCTAAAGATAGCAGCAACAATGTGAGGAAGAGCTGAGGCTGTAAAGATTCGCATTTCTCCTTTTCTATTCTTGCATTCTCCTCAATGTCTTCTCATGGTTGTTCTCCCTCTCATAAAGCAGCACTTGAGAGACGTGTTCCCCATGGTGTTTATATAGTATTTATAAACCATCAGCTTGTGCAAAGGAGCACTTTATTACACTAAGACTGTGCAAGGTTCTTAACTATGGCAACAACATGAGTTACCTGTGCCTTCACTGATGGCACAGTACTCACATCATTCCCAGTTCTTCAGCAAGGACAGCAGGCACATGCTCTTGCTCCAAAAGCACAAATCCCTTGACAAGCAGACAATAATTTTCAATACTCTCCAACAGCTACTCCAAAGGCAGCAGAGGACTTAGGATAATTCTCACAGTTGAAACAGTTACCATTTATCCTACAGCGAGTACGTACACATACAAATCAACCAAAAACCAGCCCATCACAAAGCTCTAGTAGAATACTTTATTATCCCCAACAATATCTAAGGGAAAATGCTTTGTTTTATAAACTAGTTTAGGAAAAAAGATCTAATTTTTATACTGCTCTAAGCTTCTCAGGGAATCAATCAATTAAATTGGCTAGCTATGTTGAGGTAATTGAGAAACAGTTCCCAGAAGATATTACATAGCTACAAACATAGTATGAACCAAATACATTGAGTTAAGCAAGACAGAAGCAGGAGTCTAGAGTTTGTTTTCTGTCTGGAACTGAAGGACAGGGTGTGACTTTCTGAGTTCCTTTATTTCCTAGGAAAGGAGGACAGTCCTGGTCTGTATTGCCAGACAGATTCTGCCAAGCCTTCCCTCCACTTCAGCCCTGCACATCTGCATCAGCCCCAGTAACACACTCATACCAACACTGATCCTTTATCAAAGGAGGGTTTTACACAGTGAGACAGAGTGGCTTGACTAGGGCCTGATAAAAACTTAATTCCTCTGGCAGAAAGAAATATTATCATTCCCTAAAGCCAGAGTAATTACTAATCATCAAAATAGCAAAAAAAGATATTTCCCAAACTCCTCCATGTTCTGTGGAACAGAAATTATGAAGATATCTGTACATGGTGAGGGAAAAAAAAGAGATTGCAACTCAGAGATTATTTTACTCCCAGCAAACAGTGGCTGCCTGGCCAATTTCATACAGAAATATGTATTCAACAAATTAGTCAATATTTACTACCATAAATTCTGTCTTGCTTATCAGTCTAATATATATAACACAGACTTCCAAGGTAAAATACATAAAAGATGACCTTTTCAGTTCTGTGTCCTCTTTTTTTTTATTTTAATCCCTGAAGGCCTGAAAACTTTAAAATTAGAGGGAGAGGTGTTCAGATTCTTTTTTTTGCAACTTGCTCCTTTCATTTAAAATACCCCTTTTCTTGTTTTGTAGTCACCTTAGATGTCTTAGACATAGACTTAAAGCTCCTTCAGCCATCTATCTGAGCAAGCTGTTACATTCTGGCAAGCAGCAACTTTTCTCCCAAATATTTATTCAGGTGTTCAAAACCTTGGAGATTTTGTTTGTTTGTTTTAAACTTTTAAGCAGTCAAAATAAAAATATTTCTTCCCTGGACAGTTAGTCAGCTTCCATTCTTATAATAACCCTGAGATAATTCTACCAGATCATCAATAATGCATATACTCTGGAAGAAATTATTTTTTAAAAAAAGGAAAATAAAAGGAAACGGACATGCTTTTCTCTAGAAGAAAACCAGAGGTACAAAACAGAGGGGCCCTTTGGCCTTTCTTATATAAAACAGGAAAAAACACCCATAATAAATCACAAACACAGTTTTTATCTTTCACAGATTACTTAATGATAGCTTGCAGAAGTCCCCAGAAGAACATTAAATATTTCATATATTTAGTGCATCCTAAATATCAGGGGATTATAGAAATTAACAACCCTCTGGTAGTGGACAACCACCTAGCAGGCAGCTAGCTGCTCTGCAAGCATATCATACACACAATTTTTAGATACAAAATTATATTTTCTTATTAAATATTAAAGTGGCAGAAAGGGAAGTTATAATAAATTTTGCATAACAAACAGAATTGCTATGTATTAAAAAAATCTAAAAAATATTTTTAAGATAAAGACAGAAAAACAGTTGCTCATAAGTCTAGCTGAAAGGAGTTTGTGTGCTGAATTTCTCTTTCTCCCTTAACTAACTATTTGTTTTCTGTTTCCTTGTGCTCCTTTGCTTTTGTGCTTCCAGCTTTCCTAATTTGGACATCCAAAACTCAACCAAGGACTAATCACAGATGCTTTCTATAGTAAATGGAGTTGGATAACTAATGGTTCAGAGCAACTAGAGAACATAGGATGATGTAATCAGAAGTAACTACGATGAAATAAAGAAGAAAGCTGCACAATTGATCATTCTTCTGTTCCTTGTCCATGCCCTCTTATTCTGGCTGGGTCAGCACAGAGCCCAGGCTCTCCTGGTCCACACTTGGGAGATCAAGGCTCAAGAGCCCAACTCCCAGCAGGGAGACTGGCCACCTTATTGTTATAGTTGCAGTGAACTTTGTGCACAGTCCTTCTTTCAACATAAACCCCCATCTGTGATACATGCTAGGCCAGCTGTCACAACAAAAACTAATTCTGCCACATCCACATCCCTGATTGATCTGGAGTTGCCCTTTACAAAAAAGAAAAAAAAAAAGAGCTAGATGCAAACTGATGGACCCAAATACTCTCTGGGTCCATCACTGGGTGGTCAACCTTAATAATGCCAACAAAAATGGAATAAACTCACATAAGTGTTTTAAGAGGGCTTGAGCATGTAATTCACACCCAAGGATGTGAATACTGTGGCATACTGAGTGAATTCAGCATCATCCAGTCTGAAATTCAAGCAACAGTGGTTCTTCTATAGGAACTATCAGAGTCCTTGGGAAGATCCATGGCACTTGTTAACTTTACCTTCACATATACAGTGGGTATCTGAGGTCTAGAATGGTTGGGGGAAAGTGACAGTCTTATTTTAGTTATTTTAATGCTGGGGTATAGAGTGAATTGAATTGTGTGATTAGTAATTGAATAGCTGCTCCTCTATTGCATGGTCTGTTTGGCCTAGAGATTCCCTGTGCTATTGCTGTTGTGTGAGC